GTCACCCTTTAGTAATGGAGAAGATTGGATCTGTCACGGAAAGGGTTTTTACAGAATGATATCCGATTTCTCAACATCATCACCATGCATCAGAAGGTGCCACCGAGCATTGAGTCAACATATTGATGAATCGATACCGTAACTAAAGGAGTGATGCGTATGGTCCAATGGCTCGATACAGTTGTCAATTGAAGTGTAATTAAATGTTACGCTTTTGAGGCTTACCCACCATGCATTTTTTAATTAGGTTGTCAGTGTTAATAAAGAAAGCTACTTGCACGGAAAATATTGTTTTTAATTAAAGCGATTTGAGATTTTTTGACCTCACACAATATAACAGCAATACCAATAATAAAACGTGCACCCAAGGTATATATTTTGTTAGAAATTAATTTTTTTTCACAATTTTTAATTGAATTTCCTCACAAATTTTATACTGTATGTTTCACTTTTGTTTTGTTTGCTAGTATTTGCAGAACTAAAGTCGTATTACAGTTATTTAATTGACTGTTCTCAGAGGTCATAGTTCTTATGATAGTCTTGCAATATTATTTTAAAGTTAAAAACTGGTGGACGAGGGTTACGAGTTTAAGTTCATATTCTTTTAAGTAATCGTTCTCGGGAATGCTAGATGCTAGGCTTTAACCCCTTAAGCGGTTTGACCGTACAACGTACGGGTTACCGAAAGTTAAACGGAATTGGTTTGCCAGTACACTGTACAGGCATTCCTTGATATTTTCTTTCTTTGATTTGCGCTTATTTTTAATTCTTATGGTGTATTATATATAGAGCTAGTATTTTGAAAAGGGGATGTAGTTTGTCTATGGTACTGAGGTGATTTCCGTCCGGCACTTTTTTTTTGAGGTGAAGGGGAGAATTAGTATTGTATTAGTTATAAGCATTAAAAATTGGCCTTTTTTGAAGCATTTTAGGTAAAAAAAAACAACGACCACTTAAAGGGTTAAAGTCCTTTCAAGTGCGGATTTGTTTAATGAGAGAAACACTATCTCTAAAGTAGTGTCTCTGTTTACCAAGAAATGCTATCAAACTTTAATCATGTTAATTCTTAGATTATCTCTAGAATATGTTGGGGGAAAAAATTGGAATCTATTTTTTAAAGGTTAAAGAATAATGATTTTTTGATGACTTTTTACTCTCCTAAAACCTCTCTGTCTACGTAAAACGAGGATTTTGAACCTACATTTAATTTAGAACTGTCGAGTGATCACAAAATAAACAGAATAGAGACTTGAATTTATGAATGTCGATCTAATAATATATTATACACGGTGATTCTAAAATGATAGGACAAATTTTAAAGGGTTGGTAGAGCTCATTAAAACAAACAATTTTTGTACAGGAATATATCGGCGAAAGTGCCGCGTTGTGAGGCACAAACAGGAAAAATAACACATTAACGGAAACAAAATGTTCATTAGCAGCATGTTAACGAGTGATTCCGTTGATTAAATGCTAAAACAGTTTTAGAAATTGCGTCCACCAACTGTCATGCATGCTTGGAGACCTTTGTGGCGTGATTGGCTGACAATATTGGGGATAGTAGAAGGTAGCAAAGCGGTGTGCTAATAATCTGCTGCATTACCAAAATCAGCATTTTCTCTTGAGATTTCTGTCGTTATGGGAGATTTTACTAATAGCAAAAAGACAGACATGCATTTAATGTATGGTGTTGTCAATGGTAACGGCAAATCAGTGCTAAGGCTCTCTCTCTCTCTCTCTATCATGTACACTTTCCAAGTAGACGCATGCCGAACTACAAAATGTTTCAACGACTACATCGACAGCTTTGTAAAAATGGCTCATTTACCGCCAGTCCTGATGAAGGGGGTAGATCGAGGACTGTACGACAAACACACATAGAAGGAGTCATCTTGGACCATATGTATGCAACACCCACCTGTAGCAGTTCGTCTATATGTCAGTCAACCAACCGTTTGGAGAGTTTTACTGTTGGACTGTTGGTGGATGCAATTTATTAGACTGTTTTAGCATTTTCTGTACGGAATCCTTCGTTAAGCATGCTGCTAATGAACATTTTATGTTTCCATTAATGGGTTATTTTTCTGTTTGTGCTTCAACGTGGCACTTCCGCCCATATATTCCTCTACAAGAATTGACTGTTTTAGTGAGCTCTACCACCAAATAAAGTTTGTACTGTCATTTTAGAATCACCCTGTACAATCATCGCCTAATCCCAAGTAACCATTCTTCTAAATTTTTTTTAAAACTTCAATGGAATTTCATGATTTTGCAGATTCATTATATATATTGACCTTTTTTTCGAACAATTTACATAAAAAATATTTTAGAGTTTGCATTCTAACTTATTTTTTAAAGAAAGAAAATAGAGGTTTGAAAAGCTTAAGAACATGTGAGGTGTTCAAAAAAAGTTCCTACTATCTGCATTAGGCAGAAAGAAGTTGTTAATAAATTTTTAGTTTTCTATATGTTCTGGAATACTAGTTGTAGAAAACAAAATGGAATATATATGTTTAATTTTGCTTCTTTTTATTTAAATTAGTGTTTCTCAGCCTGCGACACACGTACCTCCCTCGGTATATAAAACGGTCTCAGACAAACACACGTACTTCTACTCATACCTCTACTCGGTATGTACGCGACAAAAAAAAAGATAATAATGTGCATTGATAGATTAAGAATAAGACAGAAGTTTTATCTATTATATTGTTCTACTGTTGTAAAAAGAAAAGGGGTGGAATTGTAAGGCTATAATTCTTATTTCCCTTATTATGTGATTCAAGCTATACTTAAAAATTATTTTTTTCTGCTTTATTATATGTGAATCATTGTTTCCTGAATATTTTTGTATAGTGAAATAACTTAAATTATATAATTAAAATAAAAATGAAACAAACTTGTTTTCAAATTATTTTACCACAGAATACCGAAAAGTATTATATTTTTGTAGAATGTACAACGTTCTATAATTAATTTAAGTGATTTTATTACAAAACGTGCTTCAGTAAAAGATTGGAAACACTACTCAATCTGTCTACTTTTATCCACGTAATATTGTTTTTAATAAGTTTCTAGCCTGGTCTTAAAGCGAATACTGCCATAATTGTACATATTTTTTTAAAAAATTTAATTAAAAATAAGTATATAATTATTAGTATATCCATTTTTGCATAGATAGTAAAAGTAAAAATCTCTCTGTATTATAACTTTATTATAGTGTACTTGTACATGTATAAATGCTATTTATATTATATAATGGGGGTGGAGTACGCGAGTAATAAACAAGGTTGAGAAAAAGCTGTTCAAGTTATGTAGTCTTTTCTTAAGGGGGTAGGTTCACGAAACAGGATCATGTATCTCAGTAATGTTAAAAATAAGTATTTTTAAGGAACAGTTATAAACATATATATATTCTATTGAATAAAAATCTCCAATTTTTTTACTGAATATTCTTTGAACCATTATACATACTTTAATCAGAGATTTTATGGATAGGTCTAGTTACTTAAAAAAAATTTTTTTGCACAAATCTGTTTTTAAAAAAAAAAAAAAACAGTGAAATTTTATGATGTTTAATGCTATAAATTAAGTCAGAATATTTTTTTTGAAAAAATCCCTCGATTAAAGTGAGAAGATTAAAGTGTAATTATTAATTATGCAAAGTTATAAGCTGTTAAATGCAGTAGTTTAGGAAGAAATGTTCCTTGTATGGTAAAAATGTTAGTTTTGAGAAAAATGGATTTTAGTAATGGATTTAGTAGACTTTGAACATTTCAAAGGTAAAACATTTTCAAAAAATTATTAAAAATACTTCACTGCACGTAGAATGATAATTTTTGCACCCTTAGAAGCGTAGAAATTCATATTTTATTAAAATGGAAGAGTGAAAAATGTGTTTGGGGGCCGAAATTCATGAACCTCTTAAAGCTAGAACAATTACTCCGGCTTTTCAGTCCTTATAACAGAACTACGCAACACAATATTGTACTCGTACGTAATGGGCAGCGGGCTAACCCATTCACTGCCAAGCAAATTTAGAGTCTTGCCCTGAGTGGCAAGGTTTTATTTTAAACAAAACATGAGATTTTACAAAATATAATAATATTAAGTTACTGATATAATATTTTAATGACATTTTCAGTAATTTTTATTTAAAAAAAACCCACTACGAGATAACTCGTAACTGGCCGTCACTGAATATGATTCCTGTGCCGAGTATCACTTACGAGTTATCCCGTAGTAGTTTTTTTTGTTCAATGAAAATCTACGTAAACAAAGAGATTTTCTTTTCGATTTGTTTGATTTTAAAACTTGTTACCTAATTTCATCTGACCATAGTCAATAATCCAGATGTGACCAGAAAAACCTTTTAGGCGACGGTAGTTATAAAGAGTTGTAAAATAATAAAAATGGACTGACACACAAGTAATAGTTAACTGCAGACAAAATCAATCTGTTAGAACAAAAATGTTAACACAACACTATTTCGAAATTGTTCTGCAGAATGCATATGCGTTCTATAACCAACGAAATCAAGGGAATAAGAAGATGAGGATGCTTCAGTTTAGGCAATCAGAGTTATTATACAAATGCTTGATGGCGACGGCAGCAATGCAGGAGAAAGCAGCAACTATTATAAATATACAAATGATTTTAATAACTTAGAGCATCTTCCTCCCACACAAACACAAGTATTATAAAAAACAATTTTTTTCCGAAGTCAATTCCTACTTAGGTGAACAAAGATAAATTTTATTTTAGTTGTGCTTTTTATTAAATAATTACAATTTATATAAATATGTATATACATATGAGAGAATCCCAATATTAAGTGGCGAAATAGAAAAGGATTTTCCTTCCAATTTTTTCCATTTTCCTTCCTATATATACTATTGGACTATTATTGTTGTTTGTTACTATTTATTCATTAATTAAATTTAATTATTTTAATAAAATATTATAGTTAAAAGAAATCACATTCTCAGGCCACATTATTAGGTCACCCCAGGTGGGATCCGAACTCACGACCTTTGAATTAAAAGTCCAACGCACTATCCTTTGCGCGACAGGTACACAACGAGCGATTTTCCTTTTTATGTGGGGTGGTGGACTATTATTTTTGTTTAAAATTTATTCAGTAATTAAATTTAAATAATGAATTAATATTTGAAAAAACTGTATTAATATCAAGTGTCATCCCCATTACAAGTTAAATAAAATGTATTTGAACTTGAGTGGATGAATAAAAAGTATTTTATTAAAGATTGAAAATTTGATCAAGATATATATATATATATATATATATGTGTATATAGGGAGAGTGTGAACTAATAGTAGGCATTGAAAATGGATGCCTACAAAACCATGTCGAATGTGAACAAAGCAAAAAAAAAAAAAAAAAAGAAAGAAAGAAATATATATGTATAGGTAGGTATTTTTGTCCAGTGTGTCCCAACAATCCAGCACTTTGTGTTGATCTTTGCCTTAAAGCTCATCATCATACACAGCGACAACACAGTAAAAATATTTTTAATTTTAGTAATTCATTCATATATACACTCATGGACAAAAAAATTAGCGCACCAAGAAATAATTGCGGGATCGTAACCAAACTTGGCATGAAGGTACATGTCGTGGCGATATGCAAATGATTAGAAAAAAGCGGGATTGCGCCTTACGTAGAGCCGGTAGAGGGCGTTTAACTTCGTTCTCTGTGGAGTATAAAACAGGTAACCAAAGATTGTTTGAGTGTGCTGAATCGTTTACAAAAGAAGGGCTAAGATAGACATGCCATTACACCGTTTAAAGCTGGGTGGTCAGCTAGGCGAGTAGCTCGTCAATTACGCCGCTCTGATTGTGTTGTGATGAGGTGTTGGGACCAGAGGATCCGAGAGATGTCATTTACACGAAGACCAGGCTCAGGACGCCCTCGACAGACCAGTCGTCAAGAAGACCACCACATCGTAAGAAATGCACTCGTACAGTCAACTGCTTCAACGGCCGCCATCCAGGCACATGTAGCACCTTCGCTAGGGGCCCCTGTATCTTCTCGAACCATACGAAGGTGCCTGGCTGAAGGACATTTGGGATCGCGGCTCCCATTTCGTGTGCTACCTTTGACGCCCACCCATCGATGCCTCCGTTTGGAGTGGTGCCGCGCACGAGGAAACTGGACTGCAGCGGAATGGAACCAGGTCGCTTTAGCGACGAATCCAGATTCAATCTCAGCAGTGATGACAATCGTTTTCGTGTGTGGAGAACCCGTGGTGAATGCCTCAATCCTGCCTTTGCTTTACAGCGACACACCGCTTCCACAGCTGGTGTAATGGTATGGGGTGCCATTGCCTACAATACACGGTCAGCCCTAGTACTGATCCGTGGCACCATAATAGCCCAGCGGTATGTCCATGACATCCTGCAACCACATGTGTTGCCTCTCATGCAACGGCTACAAGGAGCCATTTTTCAACAAGACAATGCTCGGCCTCACACGGCAAGGGTGTCACAAGACTGTCTCCGTACTGTTACTACCTTCCTTGGCCTGCCCGATCTCCAGATTTGTCTCCAATCGAGCATTCCTGTGATCATTTGGGACGGCGAGTTGGGCATCCCACGAGTTTGAACGAACTAGAGGCAAGGTTACAGCAAATATGGAACGAAATTTCTCAAGACATCACACAGAACTTGTATGCCTCAATGACCGATCGTATCGCATCGTGCATTCGCGCTAGAGGGGGTTCAACAAGGTATTAAATCTTCCGTTCTTTTGCCTTTTTGTCTGAAATAAACGGTCCTTTTTCTTTGATTTTCTAATCATTTACTTATATCATAGTAGTCCTTACGTATGTAAAATTTCGTTTCATTTTGACGACTTCTTCTTGGTGCGCTAATTTTTTTGTCCATGAGTGTGTATTCAACAAAATTAAGTTTTTTAGAGTACATAAAGCATTTGCAAGAACTTAATGAAATTTAATACAAAACTTTTTCAAATTTTTTTTGAAAAACTAAACATTTATTGTGTTTTGGAATAATAATCTGATATTTTTCTACAATTTCTATAATGTAATTTAATTTATTTATGTATTGATATATATAATTATTAGTATATTAAAAAATTATGTTATTTAATTTTATTTTTTATTATCCTATACGACTAACACTAATCTAACACTTTTCGGAAAACTTTTTATCCATTTTCAGAGTAACAAAATTTCAAATCACTATATCGTTAATGTCTTTCTGAATTTTCAAATGGATTTTTTTACGTATGCTTCCCTGTATTATTGTCAACAAAATTCTGAGAGGAAAATATTGATAGATTTGCGCATGCAAAAAATAATTAATATTGATCATTTTATTTTTTGCACTTTAAATTCCGATATATTCCTGTTAGTTCCTTGAAATTCTGAATAACATAAATGAAAAAAAAAAAAACCTATGTAAAAGCAAAATTATTTTAAGGAACACTTTTTTTTTCAAAATAAATATAGGGGCTATTTTTAGGTAAACACCGCAAGAAACTAATTAAGCATTTTGTGAAAATGCTAAATCATAAACATCTTTTTATGATACTGGTGTTCAAAAATATTTTTTTTCTTTTTAAACTTGCTGGTGGTAACCTAAATGATCAAATTATTGAATTCACTGCAGAGAGTCAAAGTATATAATACCTTTTACATGCCCAAAGCTTCAAACTCTTTGTCATTTCTCTGAAAAAATTCAAAAACATATCTAAAATCCAAAAATTTTCTTAATTTTGAGCTTTTATGAAAATTGTTAACTAATTCTATAATACTTAAAAACTGCGTATTCCTGCAAATTGCCATGAAACGTGTGAAATTTTCCGTTTGCTTATTACTCAGATTATGGGATATATACAATATTTTTTTTCTTTCCCTCAACTTTAACCTCCACATAAAAAAAGGAAGAGAGTGTTTTTTTAATTAAATTACAAATGATTAAAATTTCAAAAGGACAACTATCTACCTAATTTCACAGAGAAACGCAGCTTAGTTGAAGTTAAGTTACTAAAAAGTTCAATGCTAGAGAAAAATTTATAGTATACGTTTAACCTAAAACAGACAATATGCTTCACAACTTTCAACAACATGATCTGACCATGTCGACACCAGGATAGAGAGACCACCGCACTTCACTTATATATTAGCCGTCATGAGGATTTTTGAGCCACGCCCTATTTAATGTTCGTCGATTCCAACCAAATGCATTTTAAAGATGAGTGCGAAACTAACTAACTACCCATCGTTTGGAATCTTTGCCAACTAGACTACCGTAGATTCGACTGGATGCTAAATGTTGAATTTCAACTCAATAAATTTATAATTTGGTTTACAAAAAAAAATAGGGTTTAAAATTCTAAAATTTCTAATTTATTTCGTGAAATTTAGTATAAATATGTTTTAGTTATGTGTATGTATCAAATACACACACACACATTTTTTCTTAACTTTTTGAGTTATTAAATATTTGTTGCTGTTTTTCGACGCATATTTAAATTTCTTATTATTAAAATTCACACCCTAAATTAGAATCCTATCTTTCATCATGTCTAAGAAACTCGCATCAGCCCCTGGTTTTCCATTTACTATTTTTTTAAATCAGAAATTATTTCGCTATTAATTTTCGATTTTGCCACATAAATCAAAATTAAATCGTTGGTAAAAGTACAAAAAAGGAAGCCCGGTGATTGAGTGATAGTGTCCGCGCCACAGGTCCGGGGTTCAAATCCCGGGCTGGGCAAGGTTGACTCAACCTTTCATTCATTCAGTGGGTCGATAAATGGAAACCAAGATTGTTTGGGAACTAAACACTGGGGGTTTCGAGTCAGACTGACTTCCTGATCGGAATGTTTGCTCATGCACTTCAGCGCCCAAATTCACGTATTCTGAGATGGGTACAGTCGGCCTTAGCCTTTTTGAGGTGTTGCGTTACTGAGAGAGAGAGAGAGAGAGACAAGTACAAAAAAGTAAATTTATTCAACTTTATACTGACAATATGTAAAGATGTTAAAGAGTATTTATTAATGCATATAATTTTTTTAAAAAGTGTAAAGCATCTTTCATCATGAAGTTGCTTGAAAGATGGCTTTAAATGTGACCAAAGGAAAAGAAGGAAAGATATTTATCAAGAAATTCTTTAGAGCATTAAATGTTAATATATGTCTTCTGGAAATCCAGGATGCTACATTAACAAGTTTCCACAAGGCCAACTAATTAATGTTATTTACGCTCTAAGCATGCTAAAATTCCTAATGAACATTTTTCTTGAACATTCTTAAGGACAAATACAATGTTCAATTACAGTGCTTCAGAATGACGAGTCTGATCAACAAGTTCCTACCAGGTCACCAGTGACATCAATTATTCTAAATACATACGACAATTTCCAATGAAAAATAAATATAAATTAATTATCTCGATAAGTTACGATCCATAGAAGCTAATGAAAACTTAATAGCTCCAAATCCTAACCACCACTTAACCAGTCTTGTAGTCGGAAAAACAAATTCAAATGATGAAGCGTTTTTAAGAACTCATTTGAATACGGAATTTCGAAAAAAAGGACTGCTTAATGAATTGAGAAGCTTGTCTCTTCATTAGCATACCCAATCAACGCCTGGGGTCCCGGTTGGGCCCAGAAAAACAAATCCCCTGAGGACATGTCGCGCGTGTGCGACAGGTGTCCGCACGCGACCACGAGCCCATGGCAGTCACCTGTCTTTTTGCCTTGAACGACATTGCAAGGCGCTCTTTTCAGTAAAAGGATGGACCAAGGAAGAAAAACATTGCAGCATTTTTGGTTTTGTTCGCCAATCAGGAGCAGTTTGGGTCACCACATGCCTTTGGCCTGAAAAAAATATGTGATAGTTTCCCTTTAAAAAGAATAAATTATGTTAGTTTTTCTTTCTGAGGTACGTTTAGAAGATATTTATGTCAACAAGTATCTCATTGACTCAGGCATCTAGGACTCATCCTTTTTGGGATGAATACTGAAGTGCAAACCAAAACCCGTTACGAAGGTGTCTGCTGCAGATTAATTCTACGCTTGTTA